GTTGATATACAGGAACTTGAACTACAGACACAATTTGATGAACCTGAGTCTTTTTATCCTTGTCTGTTGGGAGTTCGGTGATGAATAGATGATGATCACACCATAAGTTACTTGCAGATGCTGCTGTACCTCTCCCAATAAATCTGTAACTGCCCACAACAATGAGAAAGACATCTGACTACTTTTAAACTTTTAATTTACAATATCTTTAGTTTTATTAATAATTATAATACCTGTGATGTGCTGTATTTGAGATAATCATATTCATAGTTGGTATACACAATATAAATACCTTAAGGAGACAATTGTTTGCGGGTATTTAATTTAGCGAATTTTAGCGATTTTTAAAAAATCGCTAACTTAAGTCCGCGCTAATTTTAATTTCTTCATTAAAAGTGGGTGTGGTCACAATGAATAAAATGGCGGCCGTCAGCAAGTCTGAGCTTATTTGCAGCAAACGGTCAGCAAGATAATACTAAACTACTGTCCAAAGACTTCTCTAGCAGTTAGCCTAGGTTAACAAAGCAGATGACAATCTTCTTCGTTTAGTGACTGCTTCTAACTGTAAGCAAGATAACTTTAATGGCTGCTGAGCCAGTGATGAAGCAATTTCAGCAAGATTAATGCAACAAGATCTGCTGTATTTAGACTTGTGCAATTGCTTTGCTAGCTCAGACATGTAGATCACAGCACATAATCTATAGCTTGCTTAGGCTCACCCCTTTAATTCTTCTAGAAGTTATTAATACCAAATGATCAAAAACGCTAAATTAAGTACCAGCCAAATGTCAGTTTCATGAAAATCGCTAAAATAAGTACACGCTAATAATTGTCTCCTTAAGGTAAACACTTAACAAACAATTAGCAGCTACTTCACACGTGACCACCAAACCTGCACTTATAATAACAGTAAAAAGTCAGTGTGGCCCTACTATAGTCTATTCAACGACTAGAACTGAGATACCACAAACATAGGTGTCTATAGTACATTCTGATGTGCGTAGGCGTGCGATTTAGTTATTATTAATACTGCAGAGAAAGGTCTGCTTACATTGTCTAAGCTCCTGACCTAGGATCTACATCAAGAAAGCTAGGAAGTCAACCAAACTTTACTCAAGCGGGGTGGCTAAAGCCACACTCGTACCCGCGACATTTTTGAAGACTGCTATACTGATAGAGTAAGGTGTATGTATGAATGAAATTATTATAGCATGTGGCATACTAATTCCCCAGCTAGTCTAATGATTCCCAGTCCTTCCTTTTGATGTCACGGTCTGCCAAAAAACAATATATAATAACTATACTTGTAATTTCAGAGCTTTCAGTATTCATTGACAAACAGCTGAGAGCCTGAGATGCAAATTCTTTCATTATAATATTTGTGCTCTTTTTGACAATTTTGAATCAGCAATAATTATACATTAGCATAATCAACCCTAGTTAGGCACGTCATGATCTCACATGAATGTGCAACAACCACTCAGAACCATTTAAATAACATATCACTGCATAAATTATTGATATGCATCATTTTTGCCCATCAGATATATAAATGTGCACTATGATCCCAGAGTGAGCCAGAATGATCTTCATCTAAAAAGACTGGGATAAGGATGGCTAAGCTTAGACTATTATGTTTTCATTAGTAATCAAATTAAAGTGTGGGAGTTACACACTCCTACTCCTTTTCTCACATCAGACCTATGCTTGCCTATAAAATCATTTGTGTAGTTCATTAGTCAGCCATACATGTACTTCCTGCATGGGCTTAATCAGATGAAGGTCTCAAAAACAAATGCAAAATTCTACCTAGATGTAATGTTTTATCAGCATTGAAGTCATTTTTAATGGTCAATCCATTATGCTTGTACTTGTGTTTCAAAATATTATTATCTTTCCATTCTTTTTTTAATTCTCTTCTTTTCAATTTTTTGCAACATTTAATTTAGTACTTGCAAGATGGCTGGTGATCCAAGGAAAGGGGTATACTATTGAAATCATATATAAAACAATGCACACACTGGTATTTATGTATAAAATTCTGAAAATAATATGATCAAATCCCTTAAGCCAAAAGTACTATGCAAACAAATGGTATAGCATGCTTCTACATCAAGTCTCAGAATAGAATCATTGTGAACCTATATATGTATAATACCTTACACTATACTATATCCCAGCGGTTGAGTTTGGGACAAGAAAAACTGGAATAACTTTTTATAGGAATATGAGATAATGATGAAACTTTCACAGGTTCTTAGTCGCCAAAGTCCATCAAAATCTGTGAAATCTTGGGTCTTTTAGCTCTTGAAAACCTTGAGAACTGGGTTCTCCCTATAAACCCAATGGCATACCAAAGCTAACTGCAATGACGTTTTATGATTTCATAGTTAAACCCTAACAAGGATATTTGTTAGGGTTTAATCTGCATGCAAAGTTTGCTCCATATCCAAATGGTATTAATTTTCAAAAAATATTGGCCTGCCTCTTCTATTTTCACTTTTCATGATATTATTATGTGTACCAATTATTTTGTTTACATTCATCTTGTTTTCTCTCTGATATCAATCAACAATGCTGATTAAACTGCATGTTACCTTCATCACACAATAGCCAGTAAGTCATATTGTGTACTATTATTATTTATCGTATAATTTATGCTTCTCTTATTGATATTCATTAACTGCTATCTTTGGCACATAATAGTGGGTAAGTCTATACTATTATTTAACAATATGTTACTCTCTCTGATATCAATCAACAATAAACTTCACAACAGACAGTAAGTCATAATGTGTACTATCATATATTTTTTTATTTATCAAACTAATCTTTGTCATACAATAGTGGGTAAGTATCATGTACTGTCATCTTTTAATTTGTCTTTCTCTCTGATATCAATCAACAACAATTAAACTGCTATCTTCATCCATCACACAATATAGAATGTAAGCTGTAATAATGACGGTACTATTATTTATACTTATCTTTTATTTGTCCAATAATTGAACTATTTTCTATATCACATACACAATAGGGAGTAAGTCTTAATGTTTATTACTTCAACTTATTATTTTCTGATATTAATCAACAATATTTAAACTTCTTTGTCACACAATAGCAAGTAAGTCATAATGGGTATATTATTTTAGTAGAATTTATGTTTTAATTTGACTTTTTTTCTCAAACTGATAACTTCATACAATAGAATGTAAGCCATATACCACATGTGTACTTTACCTTTTAATTTATTGTTCTGTTACTGATATTCATCAACTGTTATCTTTGTCACACAATAGTTTGTAAGTAATAACAAGGAGTTCTGTTATTTACATTTTATCCTCTGTTTTTTCTAATATTAATCAACAATAATTACACTTTTATCTTCATGACACAATAGACAGTAAGATCATAATGTGCACTGTTATTCTTTGATTTTATGATTTTCTTAATGACATTCATTAACTATTATTTTTCTCACACAATAGTGGGTAAGTAATAATGTATACTATTATTTACATCAATCTTCATTCTCTAAACAACAATCAAACTAATATCTATATCACACAATAGGAAGTAGGTGATAATGTTTATTATATTAATTTATCTTTTTCTGATACTCATTTTGGCAACATTAGGAAGTAAGTCACAATGCTTATTACTATGTAGAATTTATGTTTTAATTTGTCTTTATCTCTGCATATCAATAAACTGTTATAATATTCATCTCACAATAGATTGTAAGTCATAATGTATTATGCTATTACATATAATTTATTTTTATTTTATGGTTCTCTTACTGATATTCATCAACTGTTATCTTTATCACGCAATAGATTGTAAGTAATAATGTTTACTTATTATTTTTAACCTGTCATTCTTCTGAAATATTAATTAACAATAATTGAACTGTTATTTTTGTCAATAACTAGAGAGTAAGTCATATGTGCTATTTTATATATTTATCTTTTAATTCATCATTCTCCTATTAATATTTGTCAACTGTTATCTTTGTTAGATTGTAAGTAATAACATGTACTATTATTTACTTATTATCTTCTAATCTTTCATACTCCAAACTTTTATCTTTATCACACAATAGGATGTAAGTGATGATTTTTATTTTAATTTTCCTTTTTCTGATATCAATTTAAACTCATTTTTGTCACACAATAGGAAGTAAGTCTTAAAGTGTATATTTTTATGTAGAATTTATTTAACTTGTCTTTATCTCTGCTATCATAATTAAACTTGTTTCATCACACAATAGAGAGTAAGTCATAACATGTACTAATATATTTTTATCTTTTATTCAATGGCTCTCTTACTGACATTCATCAATCAACTGTTATCTTTGTCACACAATAGGAGGTAAAATATTACGGTGTACAATTTTTATTTTTAATCTGTCCATTCTCCCTGATATTAATTAAAAATAACTTTGTCACACATTATAGACAGTAAGTCATAATGTATTATATATATATATTATTTTCCCAATAATCAAACTGTTATCTTTATCACACAATAGGGAGTAAGTAATAATGGGTAACTATTATGTACTTATTATCTTTTAATCTGTTGTTTCTTTGACAATGATTAAATTGTTATTTTGTCACACAACAGGAAGTAAGTCATAATGTGTACTACTATCTTTTAATTTAATGGTTCTCTTACCTATATCACTTTCACACAATAGATTGTAAGTCATAATGTGTGTACTATTAGTGACATTTTATCTTTTAATTTGTCTTTCTCTCTAATATCAACAATAATCAAACTGTTATCTTCAACACAATAGTGGGTAAGTCATAAAGTATATTTACTATTATTTACATATTATCTTTTAATCTATCTTTCTCTCTGATATCAATCATTAATAAACTGTTATCTTCATCACACAATAGGATGTAAGTCATAATGTGTACTATTTTATATATTTATCTTTTAATTTACCATTCTTTTACCGATATCAATTAACTGTTATCTTTATCACACAATAGTTTGTAAGTCATAATGTGTACTATTATATTTATCTTTTAATTTGTCTTTCTCTCTGATATCAATCAACAATAATTAAACTGTTGTCTTCATCACACAATGTAGCATGTAAGTCTATTATTTATTGTTATCATAGTTGTCCAATAATCAAACTGTTATTTTATATCACATACACAATAGGGAGTAAGTGATAATGTTTATTATTTCAGCTTATTTTTTGTTATCAATCAACAACAATAAAACTCTTTCTTTGTCACACAATAGCAAGTAAGTAATAATGCGTATATTATTTTAGTAGAATTTGTATGTTTAAATTTATCATTCTCTCTGATTATCAATCAACAATAATTAAACTGTCATCTTCATCACACAATAGAGAGTAAGTCATAATGTGTACTGTTATATATGTTTTATTTCTAAATTTATTATTCAATAATTAAACTGTTATCTTCATCAAACAATAGATTGTAAGTATAATAATACTTTTATTTACATCTTTTAATTTGTCCTCTCTGATATCAATAAACTATTATATTCATCACAATTATAGGCAGTAAGTCATAATGTGTGCTATTTTACCTTTTAATTTATCGTTCTGTTACTGATAATTATCCATCAACTGTTATTTTATCACACAATAGAGGGTAAGTATCATAATGTACCACATACTATTATTTATACTTGTCTTTTTTTGTCCAATAATATAATCAAACTTTTATCTTTATCACACAATAGAAAGTAAGTGATAATGTGTATTATTTTAATCATTTTTTGATATTGACTTAAACTCATTTTTGTCACACAATAGGAAGTAAGTCATATTGTGTATAATGTTTTAGTCACTGTCTTTCTCTGATTATCAATAAACAATGAACTTTTATCTCGCACAATAGCTTGTAAGTCATAATGTGTATTGTTATTCTTTTGTCTTATGGTTCACTTACTGATATTCATCAACTGTTACCTTTGTCACATAATAGATTGTAAGTTAACTATTATAACATTTTACATAATTATCTTTTAATCCTTCATTCTTTCAAATATATCAATAATAATAAAATTGGTATTTTTGTAGGAAGTAAGTCATAATAATGTATGCTACTATTTTTTACACTTATCTTTAATCTGTCTTTGTCTCTGATATCAATCACAATGATTATAATCTGTTGTTATTGTCACTAAATAGATGGTAAGTCAATATTATGTTATATTGAGGTGATTGTTATTTTGGGATGAGCCTTAACGAGCGTTAACAAAAGTGCAATGATTTTTCTGTGTATGTGTGTTTTGACCTATTTATGTTACCCTAATAATAAGTAAATGATTAACCCATTGATAACATATTTTGTGAATGTGTATTGTGTTCCTTCCTAAAACTAAAAGTTAAAGAACAAGAAAATGCTGACCAACTGCAAACAGAATGATTTTTCAGTATTCTATAACACCAAAATAAGACAGACACAATGTCCAAAGGCTAAATGCTATACAGAAAGAATGCAATGATGCACCCTAGTCTTGAGCAATAGTGGCTGGTTTCTGGCTTAATTAAATTGCTAACTTTACTAAATAAGTCTAGTTTCACTTGCTTTTGCTTGAGACATGATGAGTTATTTGATGAGCAAATCTTGTGTAGATTTGCCAAAATTAATTTTGTGCTTGAACTGTCAAAAGTGATTAATTTTCAAGATATTTAGTGAGATTTATTGGCAAGGAATTAAATTTTGGTGAATTGGAAAATGCCAAACTGAACTTGCGAATTATTAACTTCCATAGGATAGACATAAGAAAATAATGAAATAGCCAAAACCCATGCATTTAGTCAATTACATCAAAATTTCTGCAGTATGGCTATTCCATGCATAATGCATGCTGGCTAGCTAATGGCCAGATAAATCAAAACTTGCTAGATTCAGTGCAATTCAATATGCTTTCTTATGAAATAATCAGTCTTTTCCCTTACACGTTTTACATTATTTACATTTATCTTTTAATCTCTCTCTCTTATTCATTTCCTCTTTCTAACTCTCTGTCTCTGATATCAATTAATCTGTTATCTTAATCACACAATAGGCAGTAAGTCAAATTGTGTACTATTCTTTACAATTTATCTTTAATCCATTTTCTCTTTCTTTAAAATCAATGAAACTGTTAACTTTTGTCACACAATAGAGAGTAAGTGACTATTGACATTTTTATTATTTAATATCTGATATCAATCAACAATAACAAACTTGTACAATAGAAAGTAAGTCATAATTTAATATTATTTATTCTTTACTTGTAATTTGTCATTCTTCCTCTGATATCAATCAATAATTGCCATGCACACAATAGGCTGTAAGTCATAATGTGTACTATTATTATCATTTAACCTGTTATTCAATCAACAACAAATAAACTGCTAAATATCACACAATAGGAAGTGAGTCATACTGTGTACTTTACCTTTTAATTTATTGTTCTGTTACTGATATTCATCAACTGTTCTCTTTGTCACATACTATAGCTTGTAAGTAATAATATGTACTATCTTTACATATTTTTTATTTTCTAAACAACAACCAAACTGATATCTTTTTACAACATAGGAAGTAAGTGATAATGTTTATT